TGGAGCGAAATCTGTATAGTGGAAAATTCATTGTTAGATCGTGTAATCGTTGCGAAAAGAGTTTTGTGAATTTGGGTGTTGAAAACCTGTTGAAAATCTCATATTAGAATCTATCTTATAATCAGGGACTTTCCTCTATATGTTATTTATTTCTCCCAATTTTTTCGGAAAAATAATGACGACGATATAATTATCTCGATGATATAATGTTTAAGAAATGATTATTAAAATTGAAATAAAGGTTTTACGAAGGTTTCGAGATGGCTTGCGTATAAAAATATGCAGTTAATGCAACATTTAAGTAGCTACACCTAAATACACGATCGAGATATTTTGTAAGTGAAAAACCGATGCCTTCCCTTGATGCGACAATCGGTGTACGTGGGCCACGCGACTCGTTATGCCTCGCTACGACTCGCAAGGTCTCGACCTTGCGCGAACATGATTTCTCGCCCGGGAGAAGAGGAAAGATTTCGCTGAGACGGCGCGCTCTCGACCGACAGCGGAGATCTTCTTTGGGGCTGAAAGACGCGTGTGAAATGGCGAGGTGAGTTTCCCATGCCGCGTGACCGTGGTATACATGTATATATACATATATGACGGGGTGCATGGTTTATCAAAAATAAATTATCAAGAGGAGGATCGAAGATGCGACTAGAGAGGGGGAAGAGAAAGAGAGAGAGAGGACAGACGAGATGGCGTGTCTTCGCGCGTGCATGGCCGCGTACAGGAAACTCCGGGGACCAGGAGACGGGGAGGCTAGGATAGGTGAGAGCAGCGAGAGGAACGAGTTGGACGAAGACGAAGAAGACGCCGAAGAAGCCAGTGGCTCGCGAGCGAGTCACGGGGGAACGGGGGAAGACACGCGGGAAGACCGACCACGAAGAAGCGACTTACGGCGACGCACAGCCGTTGCTCGAAGGACGGAAAGGTGGAAGAGCATCCTTTGGAACCGGTCCGTCTTCTCGGAGCTTGCTTCGAGCCGCAGCCAGCTGAAGCCAGAAGGCGAATCTTCGCGACGTTCGTCCTGGCGCGTTCGCCGAGTTCGCTTCGTGTACTTCGAACGAGCCCGGAGTACACAATTGTACGATCAAAAAATAATACGATAAGATCGATACGCGTTTGTAATTTCGTGCAGAGATTCGATACGTAGCACACGATAATTCACTTTGATATACATTAGTGGAGCGAATGAGGGAATATTCGCATACTTGTTTAAATGAAGGAAATTACACTGCAGTCAATTACATTAGTACATACGATGTTCGTTGACATGCGCGCAAAAAAAATATAATTTTTATTCAATTTCGAAAGCAATATAAGCAACCGTCGTGAGCGCGTATCTCAAAATGTGTACTTCGCGTAGCAAATGCATCAAGTGTAACGCAAATGAAACGCAAACTGAAAGGGTTAAAAGGGTAATGACATGGCTAAGAGGGAATAAGAGGGTTAATAAGAGAACTCGAAAGAGAGCTGTTGCACAGCAACGGGATGAAACTGATCCTATCTCTTCGATACGTAGCTTATCATTACGATCGCAGGAGCCAGTTACTGTTACACTTAGAATGTACTATCCCAGTTTTACCTTGTGAAAGTCATATATAATATCCGTAGCCTGGAGTTGGAACAAGTGTCGCATTCAGTACATTGAATGTATGCCACAGAATAATATTGGTTATTCTGGTCTCAAGTTACTGTAAAACTTGGTATAATATTTAAATATCGCATGCTGCTTGTCAAGTGTGCATATCCGTATTCAGAAATTAAAATAGCCACTATTTTTTGTAAATAAAAATTACACAAATCTCACTTCAAATATTACATATCATCTTCGATCTTCAAGAGTGCATCAGCTGCAATTGGCCTCATTGCAGTGTTCTCATGCAGTTACAATATATATTTATTCAGTAATTTATAAATTTCTGTAATCAATGTCGACACTTGTTTATAACTCGACACTGATTTCTTGTAAGTACTGAAACATTCAATTTTCTTCCCCCCCCCCCCCCAATTTTCGCCATATGATATTTTTCTCCGATAATTTATTTTTATGACAAATTCCAACTAATATGCGTATATTTTTAACAAATAACTCTGTTATATGTATATCTAATTTATTTTGCATCTAACGACATGTAACAAAATTTCGTGAACACATCGGAGCGGTAAGTTGATTAAATCGATTATCGACCTATTCGAATCCCCGAACTTTTCAATAGGGAGTTTGGAAATCCTTCATTAATTATAGCAGAATGCGTCAAAATGTCAAATATAAAACAATACTTGTGTTACGGAAAAGTGATGAGCCTGCGTAATTGAGAATAAGGACAGTGAATATAGAAGTAGAAGAGCGAACGAGAGAGAAATAGGGGAAAAGAGAAAGACATGGGTGAGAGGAAAGAGCGGGGAAAGGAGGGTAAGCAAAAAGCGGGGGAAGCCGAGAGGGCGACAGGATCACAAGGTGAGAGGATGAGAGAAAGAGAGAGGGGGAGGTGCGCGGAGCACGTTAAGAACGACGATAGAGAAGGGGGGGAGAGAGAGAGAGAGAGAGAGAGAGAAGGATACAGTGCAGATGAAAAGGGAGAAGAGGGAGTAACGAAGGGGAGGCGGTGAGGAGTGAGTGGGAGAGTGAAGAGAGAAGAAACGGGAACTGTGAGGGAAATTGTGAGGTTGAAGAAAGATAAAAAGAAATGTAGAGAGAAAGAAAAAAAGAAGGAAAGAAAGGGATGGGGGGTAGGCCTAGTGACAGCGTGAGATAGAGTGAGCGGGACATGGGAGGAAGGGGGTGGAACCTTCCAATAAGTGTGAATGGGGTTTCGGTTTTTCGATCGACTGTTTTGTACGCGAGAGATAATACCATCGCATCGCTCCTGAAAACTAAGAATACTGTGAGGTATTCTTCTATGGGAGTAACTGTAAATTTATAGCGTTATAGCAATAAACTTCTATTTACCGACGATGGCTCTGCCTTGGGTCGCTGCGATTCTTACCCGACCGATGTTTTTTTGCAATCGAAGAAAGATTTTATTTGCAATCGGATTATTTAGCTCAAATTTGCAATTATAATAATTGAAATAGAAAATTTTTATAGGTGTATACTGAAGCCTATTTAAATGAGTGTGTGTGTGAAAATAAAACAAAATAAATACCTTTGCTTTGTTTTTTTTTTTCAGAAATATTGTAGAAAACGCAACCTGGTTGTTAAATAAGATAAGAATAATTCGGTCTTGCTTGTTTTTGTAGAAATTGTATAGATTTCAATCTACATATTGTATTATAGTATATTTACACATCCACACCCATACACACGTACGCACATGTGTATACTGTATATACACTTATGTGCATATTTTAATCAGTTGTTCTAATATCTGTTAAGGCTACTTTTGTGCATCCTGTAAATTCTCGCAGATATTTTAGGTAGGGCTAATCAAGATTATCGATCGAGTACGCGTTAAATATTGTTCTCGATGCACGAATAAGACCATTAAGTACGTACATTCAGTTAAAATGTACAATTATTAATAGATATTATTGATATTTAAGAAGAAAAAATGTAAATCATTAAAACCATGATTAATACGAAATCGAACATTCAATAACGCCATCTTTTTGTAATAGGTGTAATTTAAATCTCGGTAAAGTCGAAGATAAAATACGCTCGGTAAATCACGATTCCACAGTCAAATCATATTCAGTAACAACACATATACAATATCTAATAAAATAATTAATCAATTATGTTTGACTTAATGTATCGAATATATAGATACAAAAATATTTTATTTATATATTTACTATACGTATGCATTATGTATACAGCACCAGATGTTTGGTCATGAATTTAATTGAATAATTGAAGCAATATTTTATATGTTTGACTGTAACGTTTGTTTACTTATTGCTAATAAATAATATCGTAAACATATATATAATTTTAATAAAGAGTGTTACAGTAATGTAACAAAAAATATTCTTTATATGTCATCGACTGCAATACTTAGTGATAAAAATATAACTTATGTTATATACATAATACATACTGTGTCTTTTAAATACATAAATAAATATTAGATGCTTCTTTTATTGAGGTAATATGATAATTGGATGGATCTATGTATGTCACAATTATGTCAAATATACATACAGCAGATCTATACATGTATATGTGTTTTGAAAAAAGTAGTACAACATAAAGGAATTTTATAAAAACATAGAGATTTCAATATATTTTGCTACTTTGAGTTAATTTGTTGTACCTAATATTGAAACGATAATCAATATGGTTCAACCAATCGGATTTGTTATCTGAACCTTTTTATTTTCGAATATTTATCCAGCGGGTCAATTCTGTATCTTGCGACATAGTGAAAATGCTAAAAGTGAGCTGTTTTGACTCTTTTTTAATGGGACAGTTAGAAAGAGACAAGGCTACTCACTTTTAACATTTTCATTATAGTGTAAAATACAGAATTGACCACTTGGACTAAAACCTATAATAAGAGTCTGACATCGATGTGATATTAAAACTAATTGTAAGAGTAAGCTTGATATTACATTTGTCGTGCGACAAATTTTATAAGTGTGTTGATTAACTGCAGGATAGTAAAATTCTCGAGTACCTAGAAATTTTCTATTCAGCAGGAAATCAACACGCTTGAAAAATTTGTCGTACGACAAATGTAATGTTAGCCTAAAGAGAAACTGGAAGAAATTTATAAGTGTTAAGCAAAACGGATAAAAGTGACCGTATATGTACATTAGGAACAAATTAAACAATAAAAATTAAATTAAAAAATCTTTTAAAGTAATTTAAAGCACTAATTAATTATATTTCACAACAGTAGAAATTTTAGGAAACCGGCGCGAATCGAACGAAAATGGCGACACCAATCAAAGATTGCTCCCTTATGTCTAGGCTCTTATTATAGAGTCCCTAGAACTAAAATAGGATATTACGCTCTCTACAGTTATTTTGTTATCTTTCCAGTTAGTCTAACCCATAGAGCTATTACAGATAGAGGGAAGTAGGTATGGGACGACGTGTAAGCGCATGCGATAGTGGGATAAAAAGAGAACGTTGCAATAGAGGCCGGTGTGTCACTGTCTAACAGTCACGCGCATGCGCGTAACGTGTGCGCTTGTAGGCAGAGTGTGTCTCTTTCTTTCTTATAAAAGCATGTGGAAAGAGAAAGATACACTCTGAACTAGTGCAGTTAGGCGCACGCAGTACCTAATACGCATGCGCTATGAGACAATGACACACCGGCCTCTATTGCAGCGTTCTCTTTCTACGGCTATATCGCGTCCTTCGTTGACTCCCTCCCTCTATCTGTAATAGCTCTATGGTCTAACCAGAGAGCCTGAGAGCTGCCACGGCCGGGTTTTAGTGAACCTCGAACGCAATACGACCTCTGTGGACAATGGAAAACGTGGACGAACTACGTAGCCAATATCCGCATTTTGCCAAGTGGGTAACGTAGATTTATGCATGGGGATAGTAGCGGAGATATTATACTGGACGTTGATCCTGAAGCCGTTAGGAAAGGAATACGATCGCTTATGCAACAAGTTGCTCAAATCGAACGCGAGAGAGTACGTTAGACTTTGACGATTATTCATAAGTGAAATATTATATATGTATAAGGTTGATTTTTGTTATGATAAAGTAACGATAGTTTAATGTTACAGGATGATCATAAAACAAAGCTGTGTAGTTTGAAGAAGCAACTGAAGGAGTCTAAAAAAAAAACAAAGCACCACAGATGTAAAAGTCAACAATCTTTTGACTAACATTCGGATGCTTTAGGAAGAGAAGAAATCTATGGAAGCAAAACTAACTCAAATACAAACTAGCTATCAAGCACAAGCATATATTTATATTCATGTTAGCAATTAGCATCCACGCCAAAAGTGGAAGTGTATAAGAACTGCGTAGCGACATCAATTTATATTGACAAATGGTCTGTTCTTTCTAACTGGTGCAGCCACTTTAGCTAAAAA